TTCCTGTGAGAACTGTGAGGGCAGGTGGTAAGTGGGGAAATGGTCATGTTGATAATTCGAACAAAGGTAACAGCAGCTGAGACTCCTTGGAACTCTGTGCATGCCTGCCCAGGGATGAGTGCTTCATGTGCTGAGGTAAAGGGATTAAACATTCCCAGCTATGGAGCTAGACTTAGGGGTATGAATCCAGCATCTTGAATCAGACACTTGTCCATTGTGTGACCTTGGGGAACCCACATCATTCTGACCCTGGATTTCCCCAGCAGTACAATAATAGTTCCCACCATCTCGGGTTGTGAGAATTAAAGAGAATATGTTCATAAAGCAAACCCTGGAATCCTGGCACCGTTAGGTACTCAGTATTTTGTTACTTTTATTAATCCTCACAGGAACCAAGGTAAGCACCTCATCACCTCCATGTCAGTCAGCAAACTGAGGCTCAGGGAGCTCTAGCAAGTTGCCCAGAGATTCCCAGGTGGCGAACCCACACTGAGATGTCAGTGCAGCCTCTGCCTCCTTGTGGGTGGGTGGGGTGGGTGGGTCAGTGGTTTCTGAGAAGCCCCATTTCTTTCCCAAATGTACCCAGGGACTTTGATAAAATGAGGGGTGCCTGGCCAGGGAATGTCACAGAAGGCAGAGGCTAGTGCTGCCTAGGCCCAATGAGGTTATGGGTATAGCCATGGCACAGCAAATGGGCGTTTCAGCTCTTCACCTCCCACAGCTCACTGGTAGAGCCACACCTTATACCTGTTTTACAAAGGGGGAAACTGAGGCCCAGAGTGGGTGGTCATTTGCCTGTGAGTCACAATATTTTGGGATCAGGATTCAAACCCAGGCTGCCTGACCTAGGGCTTGGGGAGTCTGATTACTGCCTTATTTCCAGTCCTGCTAGGCTTTGGGACTCAAAAAACACCCTGTTCTTCCTGATGCCATCTCATCTCCCTCACCAAGAGTTCTGCTCCAACCCACCAACCCCCATGATGATAGACCAGGCAAAGGGGTGAACACTACTAAACAAGGGTTTGTGGTATTATTAAATGTCTGGACTTTAGAAAGTGATAGAGTACATTAATAACACAGATTAAAATTAAAAGTATATGGTATATGTGTCCATTACATTGCACATAGCATAAAAAATTGAAAAAATTAGAACATATTATTCCAGTATTAAAAACAATTATTCCATAAATTAAAAAGTCACAAAATGAGTGAAATTCCAATACAACTTGGCTATTTCACTGTTCTTTTGTGAAAGGAAGAAAATAGCCAAAATTCATAGAATAGGCAGAAAATATGAACATTTCACTAAAGATACAGAGGTAGCAAATATGCATCTGAAGAAATGCTCATCATGAGTCTTTAGGGAAATGCAAATAAAACAACAGTTAGATAGCTGGACAAACTTACGAGAAGGGTTAAAATTAAGAATGATTGACTATAAAAAAATACAAATAATAAAAAAAAGAAATACACATTCCCAATAAAAACACTAATATTCTAGAATGTTATCTTTTATCCCATTTATGTAGAAAGACACCACTAACCTGTACCCTAAGCCATCCCCATTCCCTAACCCTAACCCTAACACTTACCCGAAGCCTTACCCTAAGTCTTTAGGGAAATGCAAATAAAACAACAGTTAGATAGCTGGACAAACTTACGAGAAGGGTTAAAATTAAGAATGATTGACTATAAAAAAATACAAATAATAAAAAAAAGAAATACACATTCCCAATAAAAACACTAATATTCTAGAATGTTATCTTTTATCCCATTTATGTAGAAAGACACATATGTACAATATAATAAAGTGACAACTTTTGTTAAAAAAAAAAAAAGATTGAAGAAATGAAATATTCACCAGGATGTGGAAGAAATGGAGCTCTCATACACTGCTGGTAAGAATGAAAAAAATGGGAATTTCCTGGTAGTCCAGTGGTTAGGACTCTGCACTTTCACTGATTAGGCCTGGTTGGGAAACTAACATCCCGCAAGCTGTGCAGCATGGTCAGAAAAAAAAGAAGAAAAGAAAAAGGTATAATTAGTTCAGATCACAATTTGCTAGTTTGTTTAAGTTAAGCATTCACCTACCCTATGACTCAAACTTTGCACTCTGAGTTACTGAAGATAAACATACATCCACATAAAAACTTATACACAAATGTTTGTACCAGCTTTTTTTCCCAATAGTCAAAATTTAGAAAAACCCCAAATGTCCATAAGCCAACGAATGGATAAATAGTGGTATATTCAAATATAAGAATGTTTCTTAGAAAAAAAAGTATGAGCTGCTTATATATCATTGATGACTCTCCAAGTATTTATGCAACATAAATAAAAGCAGGAAAAAGAGTAAATACTTTGATTCCTATCACATGAATTCTAGAAAATGGAAAGTTACATATTATAATGGAAAGTAAATCAATGGTTACTTGAAGGAGTGTGAGGGGCAAGAAGAGAGAGATTATAAAAGGTCATGAGATAAATATACAGTAACAGATACAATCATTACCATGACTACAATGATGGTTTCAGTTCCATACATATGTCAGAGCCATCTGTTAACAAATAGCTTTTGAAATGTTTCAAGATAAAAAAAAACAAACAAAAAACTCTATGTCCAACTGTTTTGGGAAAATAGGTTTGGCAATCCTACATTCATTCCACTTTGTCATGCGCTCTGGGGGTCAGTCTTACCTCAAAGACAGCAAATAGAGTGAGCAATGACTTTCCACCAGAGTCAACAGGAATGCGGCCTGGGTCACAAGAGACACATCTGTGGACTACAGATTCTCCTTTTCTCTCTTTTTTTATTTTTTATTTTTTATTTTTTTTCTTGCGTTATGCGGGCCTCTCACTGTTGTGGCCTCTCCCATTTGCGGAGCACAGGCTCCGGACGCGCAGGCTCAGCGGCCATGGCTCACGGGCCCAGCCGCTCCGCGGCATGTGGGATCTTCCCGAAACGGGGCACGAACCCGCGTCTCCTGCAACGGCAGGCGGACTCTCAAGCACTGCGCCACCAGGGAAGCCCTCTCTCTTTTTTTAAAAATCTGCCTGGCTCTTTGTAAGACCTGGGGAAGAGAGTTCCCTCAGCATTGCTGACATGCCCTGTGAACAAGGGAAAAAATTCATGCTGCTCCCAGAAGCAGTTGAGGTTTTCACACTGGACCCCTCCTCAGGGTGCCCTCTGAGTCTCCTAAAACTCATAGCATCCAGGCCTCAAATGAAGACAAGAAAGTCCTGCAGTCTTTCCTAGGAGGCCATGGGCAGAAATGCAAATTTGGCAAAAACAAGTAAGTTAATTTCTACCTTTGTAATGTCTCCTCTGAGGCATAGAAAGTTTGATACCCCCATAAAAGTTGCTCGCCCCTTCATGCCCAAATCTGTTTATAACCTACCCTACTTGGTAAATAGAATGTCCAAGATTAAAGAGGACTTAAACAGTAAGGACTTTGTTACTGTTCAAACGAAAGCAATGTTCTGGCAGATCTGCCAGCAATGGCTGGCAGTTCTTTAGCTGGTGACTCAGAAGGTATAAAAATTCATCACAAGTATCTTGAGACCAACATGTCCCTGAAAATGGTAATCCTTCTCTGGAAGCTGCCAGATGAACTCATATGATGTTCTCTGGGCCAATAGTAGGTCAGGCCTATGCCCAAGCTGGTCAGAAAGGGAATCCTAAAGGTTCAGGTTATTCCTAATTTCCTCCCAGAAATGAGAGAACAGAGTTGGCTTCCCTGAGCACACTGCAGTAGTGACTGATGCACACTGTGGGGACGTGCCAGCTTATAGAGGTGAAATGGATCTGGCTACAGAAAGTGGAAGTGACATAAATCTATCAAGAGCCCTGGGTAGGTTAGAGAGTGTAACACAGTCACACATGCTTCCCACAAAACTGAAAATTATGAGGAATCTCTCTACTCCTGATGTTTGGATGCATGGGACAACTAGTGCCTCACAGTTTCATCCAATGTCATTACACTGAACAAGGAAATTATACATTTCTTAAACATTTAAGGCCTTTCTCCAGTGTGAACTCGCTGGTGCTGAGAGAGGTTAGATTTTCGGCTAAAAGACTTCCCACATTCGCTGCAGTCATAAGGCTTTTCTCCTGTGTGAACTCTCTGATGATAATGAAGGGTGGAACGAGAGGTAAAAGATTTCCCGCATTCACTGCACTCATAAGGCCTTTCTCCTGTGTGAACTCTCCGGTGAATTATGAGGTGAATTCTTTGGGTAAAGGACTTTCCACAGTCACTACATGCATGAGGCCTTTCTCCTGTGTGAACTCTCTGATGACGAATCAGTATTGAGCTATTGGTAAAAGATTTCCCACAGTCACTGCACTTATAAGGCCTTTCTCCAGTGTGAACTCTCTGATGATAACCAAGGGCAGAGACAGAAGTAAAAGATTTCTCACATTCACTGCACTCATAAGGCCTTTCTCCAGTATGAACTCTCCGGTGTTTAGAGAGGTATGAATTCTGGCTAAAGGATCTCCCACAATCACTACATTCATAAGGCTTTTCTCCAGTGTGAACTCTCTGGTGTTGATTCAATTGAGAACTGTCCCTAAAAGATTTACCACATTCACTGCAGTCAAAAGGCCTTTCTCCTGTGTGAACTCTCTGATGACAACGGAGGGCAGAGCTAGAGGTAAAAGATTTCTCACATTCGCTGCACTCATAAGGCCTTTCTCCAATGTGAATTTTCTGATGATAACGAAGGGCAGAACCAGAGGTAAAAGATTTTCCACATTCACTGCACTCATAAGGTCTTTCTCCTGTGTGAACTCTCTGGTGTATGTTGAGATGATTTCTTTGGGTAAAGGATTTCCCACATTCACTGCACTCATAAGGCCTTTCTCCTGTGTGAACTCTATGGTGTCGAATGAGTATCGGTCCATTGGTAAAGGATTTCCCACATTCACTGCACTCATAAGGTTTTTCTCCTGTGTGAACTCTCTGATGATAACAGAGGGCGGAACCAGAGGTAAAAGATTTCCCACATTCACTACATTCATAAGGCCTTTCTCCAGTGTGAACTCTCTGGTGTTGAGACAGGTAAGATTTGTGGCTAAAGGATTTCCCACATTCACTACACTCATAAGGCCTTTCTCCTGTGTGAACTCTTCGGTGTATAATGAGGTGATTTATTTGGGTAAAAGACTTCCCACAATCAGTACACTCATATGGCCTTTCTCCTGTGTGAATTCTCTGATGATAACGTAGGCCAGAGCTAGAGGTAAAAGACTTCCCACATTCCCCACATTTATAAGGCTTTTCTCCAGTGTGAACTCTCTGATGATAACGAAGGGCGGAGCTAGAAGTAAAGGATTTCCCACATTTACCACACTCATAAGGCCTTTCTCCTGTGTGAACCCTCCAGTGTTCAATGAGGTCAGATTTTCGTCTGAAGGACTTCCTACATTCAGTGCACTCATAACTCATTTCTCCAGTGTGAACTGTCTGTTGTTGAAAAAAAATGGAGCTATGGCTAAAAGATTGTGCACACTGATGGCAAATGTGGCAATTTTCTCCAGTGTGACTCCTCTGAGGATAAATGAAGACAAATTCTTGGCTAAAGGATTTCCCACATTTGCTGCACTTGTACTGCCTTGCCCCAGTATGAATTCTTCGATGTTGAATGAGGGCTGAGCTTCCCCTAAAAGATTTTCCACAGTCGCCACAGTCATAAAGCCTGTCACCAGTGTGAATTCTCTGGTGCACAAAAAATGAGGATTTATACTTGAATGTTTTCCCACATTCACTGCACATAAAACACTGTCTTTCAGTGTAGACACTCTGGGCCTGAACAAGTGTGTGTTTGTGGCTGAAGGCTTTCTTGCATTTTCCCCTGGTGCAATGACTTTTTCTGCTTTGTAAAGTTTCCATGCAGTGGGTGACTGTGTTTGGCTTTTCCCCAGTGTGAATGGCCTGTTGATTCAGATGTCCTGAGGTGGCTAGGAAGTCCTCTGCAACTTTCTTGCAGGAAAAAGGTTCCCCTGACACATGGAAATTGCTGCTCTTCACAAATGAGGCCCTGTCCACACCGATTATGAACGGTTTTTCTTGCATGTGTTGCTCCTGGTGCTGCTGAGTGTCTGCACTGAAATAAAATCCTTTTGCACGTGCCTTACACTTGAATAGTTTCTGACTGTGTTGTGTTCCCTGTTGCTCAGTCAAATGGAAAATGTCTCTCAAGACTGGACCACACATCTCACAGGGGTGAGTCTTCTGGGAAGATGAAGGTTCCTTGGAAGTGCTGACCTGTGACATTACCACAGAAACACTCTGTTCAAAGGATGCCTCAACATTTTCTTCTCCACTCCAGACACCTGAATGCAAAGAAACACTGATGAGGTACACATTCACTTTATTGGAAGGGGCAACCCAACCACAAACGTGCAAATGAAACAAAAAAAAGAATAGGGGTAATTATACTATGTCAGAAAAGACAGACTTTAAGTAAATAGACAAAGGAGGTCATTATATAATGATAAAGCAGTCGATTCATCAAGAGGATATAACAATTACAAGTATATTTGCATCCAATATTGGAACACCTGAATATATTAAGCAAATACAAACAAATCTGAAGGCAGAAAAAGACAGCAGTGAAGTAATATTAGGGGTTCAATGCCCCACTCTGAATAAGAAAACGTTGGTCTTGAACTGCACCTAAGACCAAATGGACCTGACAGACATGTACAAAAGATGCCATCCAACTATAGCAGAATACACATTCTTCTCAAGTACACAGAGAACACTCTCTAGGATAGATCACATGTTAGGTCACAAAACAAGTATTAACAAATTTAAAAAGATGGAAAACATTAAATATCTTTTCCAACCACAATGGTACAAACTAGAAATCATTAACAGGAGGAAAGCTGGGAAATTCACAAATATGTGGAATTTAAATGATACACTCCTGAATGACCTATGGGTTAAACAAGAAATGATTAAATAAAAAACATATTCAAACAAATGTAAATGGAAACATAACACACAAAAACTTATGGGATGCAGTAAAAGCAATTGTAAGAGGATAGTTTATAGCAATAAATGACTACATTAAGAAAAAAGAATGATCTTTAATAAACAACCTAACTCTATATCTCAAGTTATGAGAAAAAGAACAGACTAAGGTTAAAGTTAGCAGAAATAAAACAAATAATAAAGATTAGAGCAGAAATAAATGAAACAGAGACTAGAAAAATGACAGAAAACACCAATAAAACTAAGAGGCTTTTTAATTTTATTTTTAAACTTTTTACTTTGTTTCTTGGCCACTCTGTATGGCTTCTGGGATCTTAGTTCCCTGACCAGGCATTGAACCTGGACCCCCTGCAGTGGAAGTGCAGAGTCCTAACCACTGATCACCAGGGAAATCTCAACAGTTGGTTTTTTTGAAAAGATAAATTGACAAGCCTTTAGCTAGATTATGAAAAAAAGAGAGACGACTCAAAATCAGAAATGAAAGAGGAGACATAACAACTGATACTGCAGGAATACAATCAATCAGAAGAAACTAGAATGAACAATGATTTGCCAACAAATTGGATAACTCAGAAGAAATGAATAAAACTCCTATAAACATAAAACCTACCAAAATAAAATCATGAAGAAATAGGAAATGTGAATTAACCTATAACTGGTAAGCAGATTGAATCAATAATAAAAAAATCTCCCAACAAAGAAAAGCCCAGGACTAGACAAAATCACTGGGAATTCTACTAAGTATTTATTTATTTATTTATTTATTTATTAATTACAGTATGCGGGCCTCTCACTGTTGTGGCCTCTCCCGTTGCAGAGCACAGGCTCCGGATGTGCAGGCTCAGTGGCCATGGCTCACAGGCCCAGCTGCTCCATGGCAGTGAGGTCCTCCCAGACCGGGTCACGAACCTGTGTCCCCTGCATCGGCAGGTGGACTCTCAACCACTGTGCCACCAGGGAAGCCCTGTACTAAATATTTAAAACATTAATATCAATCCTTCTCAAAGTCTTCCAAAAAATTGAAGCAGGAACACTTCCAAGTTCATTTTATGAGACCAGCATTACTCTGATATCAAAGCCATTTAAGAAGAATACAACAGAAGAAAATTACAGGTCAATATCCCTGATGAGGGTGTCCCTGGTGGCACAGTGATTAAGAATCCGCCTGCCAATGCACAGGACACAGGTTCGAGCCCTAGTCCAGGTAGATCCTACATGCTGTGGAGCAACTAAGCCCATGTGCTCTAGAGCCTGTGAGCCAGAACTACTGAACCCGTGTGCTGTAACTACTGAGGCCTGCATGCCTAGAGCCCATGCTCTGCAACAAGGGAAGCCACCACATTGAGAAGCACGTGCACCATAACAAAGAGGAGCCCCTGCTCACCGCAACTAGAGAAAGCCCATGCACAGCAACTAAGATCCAACAAAGCCAAAAATAAATAAAATAAGTAAATTAAAAAAAAAAATCCCTGATGAATAGAGATGCAAAAATCCTCAACCAAATACTTGCAAACCAAATCCAACAGCACATTTACAGGATCATACATCACAATCAAGTAGCATTTATCCTTGGGGTGCAAAGATGGTTAAGCATCATGTGCAAATCAATAAATGGGATACACCACATTATCAGAACGAAGGATAAAAATCATAATCATATGAATAGATGCTGAAAAACCATTTTAAAATTCAATATCCATTCATGATAAAAACTCTCAACAAGTTAGGTATAGAAGGGGGACTTCCCTGGTAGTCCAGCGGTTAAGAATCCATCTTCCAATGCAGAAGACACGAGTTTGGTCCTGGGTTGGGGAACTAAGCCCACACACTGCAACTACTCAGCCCATGCACTGCAATGACTCAGCCCACGCACTGCAACTACTGAGCCCACATACTCTGCAGCCCGCCTGCCACAACTAGAGAGCCCATGCACCGCAACTACTGAGCCCATGTGCTCTGGAGCCCGCATGCCATAACTAGAGAGCTTGTGTGCTGCAACCAGTGAACCCATGTGCTCTAACTGGAGGGCCTGCAGGTCACAGCTACTGAGCCCGCACACCACAACTAGAGAGAAGCCTGTACACCACAACTAAAAGATCCTGCACACCACAACTAAGACCAGACACAGCCGAATTAATTATTGTTTTTTAAAAGCTAGGTATAGAAGGAATGTACTTCAACATGTCTGACAAGCCCATACCTAACATCATATTGAACATTCAAAAGCTAAAAGGTTTTCCTCTAACATCAGGAACAAGACAAGAATGCCTACCCTATCTGTTTTTATTCAACATAGTACAGGAAGCCCCACCCAGAGTAAGTAGAGAAGAAAAAGAAAGAAAAGGCAGTCAAATTGGACTGGAAGAAGGAAAAGTGTTTGTTTGCAGGTAACGCACTCTTATATGTAGAAACCCCCCAAATTCCACCCTAACAAATGAATTCAGTAAAGTTTCAGGATAAAAAGAACCAATATGCAAATTTCAGTTGCATTTATATACACTAATTAAAAACTGTCTGAAGAGAAAATTAAGAAAGCAATCATTTAAAATAGCATCAAAAGAATAAGATACTCAGGAACAAATTTAATCTAGGGGATGAAAGATTTACATTCTGAAAATCATAAGACAACGATGAAAGAAACTGAAGAAGACACAAATAAATGGAAAGATATTCAGTATTCCTGGATTGGAAAAATTAATATTATTAATTTTACAAAGAGCAATTTACAGATTGAAAACAATCCATATCAAAATTCCAATGGGATTTTCCACAGAAATAGAATAAACAATCCTAAAATTTGTATGGAACCATGAAAAATCCCAAATAGCCAAAACAATCTTGAAAAAGGACAAAGCTAGAGGCATCACACTTTCTGATTTCAAACCATTACAATTCTATGGTAATTAATACATTATGGTACTGGCATAAAAATAGACACATAGACCAACTGAAAAGAATACAGAGCCCAGAAATAAACTCAAGCACATGTGGTCAACTGATCTTTATTAGGCACAACAAGAACACACAATGGAGAAAGGACAGCTTCTTCCAAAAATGGTGATGGAAACACTGGTTATCCACAAGCAAAAAAAAATGAAACTAGAGCCTTATCTCACACCACTCACAGAAATTAACTTGAATCGGATTAAAATTTTTAAACATAAACCCTGAAATTGTAAAACTTTTAGAAGAAAATACAGAGAAAAAGCTCCTTGACATTGGTGTTGGCAACGATTTTTTTTAGATAACACCAATAGCACAAGCAATGAAAGCAAAAATAAACAAGTGGGACTATATCAAATGGAAAAGCTTCTTTATAGCAAGGGAAACAAAATGAAAACACAACCTAAGGAAAAGGAGAAAATACTTGCAAAGGATTTATCTGATAAGGGGTTAATATCCAGAAAATATCAGAACTCATACAACTCAACAATAAAAAACTAAAGAATCCAATTAAAAATGGGCAAAAGGACCTGAACAGATATTTATCCAAAACATACAAATGATCAACAGGTATATGAAAAGGTGCTCAACATCACTAACATCGGGGAAATGCAAATCCAAACCACAATGAGATACCTCACACCTGTCTGGAACACTACTATCAAAAAGACAAGGGATACATGTTCGTGAGGATGTGAAGAAAAGGAAAACCTTCTACATGGTTGGTAGGAATGTAAATCGGTACAGCCATTAGGGAAAACTGTATGGAATTTCCTAAAAATTAAAAATAGAAATCTGCATGGTCCAATAATCCCAATTCTGTGTCTATTTCCAGAGGAAACAAAATCTGTAACTCAAACAGGTGTTTGCACCCCCATGTTCACTGCAGCATGATCCACAATAGCCCAGGTATAAAAACAACCTTAGTACAGGCATACCTTGTTTTATTGTGCTTCACAGATAACTCATTTTTTTTTACAAATTGAAGGTATGCAGTAACCCTGTGCCAAGCAAGTCTACTGGCACCATTTTTCTAACAGCATTTGCTCACTTTGTGTCTGTGCGTCACGTTTTGGTAATTTTTGTGATATTTCAAACTTTCTCATTATTGTTATACTTGTTATGGTGATCTGTGATCAGTGATCTTTGTTTGGGGGTGCCACAAACTGGACCCATAAGACAGCAAACTTAATCAATAAACACTGTATGTGTTCTGCCTGCTCTATGGACTGGCCAATCTGTCTCTCTACTTCTCCTCACGCCTCCATATTTCTTGAGATGCAACAATACTGAAATTAGGCGAATTAATAACCCTACAATGGCCTCTAAGAGCTCAAGTAAAAGGAAGGATCACATGTCTTTCACTTTAAATGAAAAGCTAGAAATGATAAAGCTTAGTGAGGAAGGCAAGTTAAAAGCCAAAAGAGGCTGAAAGCCAGGCCCTTGGACCAAACAGTATTAACCAAGTTGTATCAATAAATGCAAAGGAAAAGTTCTTCAAGTAAATTAAAAGTGCTACTCTAGTGAACACAAATAATAAGAAAGCAAAATAGTCTTATTGCTGATATGGAGAAAATTTTAGTGATCTGTATCCAAGATCAAGCCAGCCACAACATTACCTTAAGCCAAAGCCTAATCCAGAGTCAGGCCCCAACTCTCTCCAATTCTGTGATGGCTGAGAGAGGTGAGAAGCTGGAAAAAAAAAAGTATGAAGCTAGCATAGGTGGGTTCATGAGATTTAAGGAAAGAAGCTGTCTCGATAACATAAAAGTACAAGGTGAAAAAAAAAGTACACAGTGAAGCAGCAAGTGTTGATGTAGAAGCTGTACCAAATTTATCCAGATGATCTAGTTAAGATAATTAATGGACATGGCTACACTAAACAACACATTTTTAATGTAGATGAAACAGTCTTATGTTGGAAGAAGATGGCATCTAGGACGTTCAGTTAGAGAGGAGAAGTCAATGCCTGGCTTCAAAACTTCAAAGGACAGGCTGACTCTCTTATTAAGGGTAATGCAGCTGGTGACTGAAAGTTGAAGCCAATGCTCATTTATCATTCTGAAAATCTTAGGTCCTTAACAATTCTGCTAAATCTACTCTGCATATATTCTATAAATGGAACAACAAAGCCTGGATGACAGCACGTCTCCTTACAACATGATTTACCGAATATTTTAAGACTACTGTCGAGACCTACTGCTCTGAAAAAAAAAAGTTCTCAAAATATTACTACTCACTGACAATGCAGCTGGTCAGCCAAGAGCTCTGGTGGAGATGTACAAGATTAATGTTATTTTCATGCCTACTACTACAACATCTATTCTGTAGTCCATGGATCAAGTAGTTTACACTGTCAAGTCTTAAGAAATACATTTCATAAGGCTATAGCTGCCATGGATAGCAATTCCTCTGATGGATCAGGGCAAAGTAAATTGAAAACCTTCTAGAAAGGACTCACCATTCTAGATGCCATTAAGAACATTTATGAATCATGGGAAGAGGTAAAACTATCAACATTAACAGGAGTTGGGAAAAAGCTGATTCCAACTCTCTAGATGACTTTGAGGGGTTCAAGATTTCAGTTGAGGGAGTAACTGCAGATGTAGTGGAAAAACCAAGAGAACTAGAATTAGAAGTGCAGCTGGAAGATGACTGAATTGCTGCAATCTCAAGAGAAAACTTTAGTGCTTCCCTGGTGGTGCAGTGGTTGAGAGACCGCCTGCCGATGCAGGGGACACAGGTTCGTGCCCCAGTCCGGGAAGATCCCACATGCCGCGGAGTGGCTGGGCCCGTGAGCAATGGCCGCTGAGCCTGCGCGTCCGGAGCCTGTGCTCCGCCTCAGTGGGAGAGGCCACAACAGTGAGAGGCCCGCGTACCGCAAAAAAAAAAAAAAAGAAAGCAACTCAAGAGAAAATTTTAACAGATGAGGAGTTGTTTCTTATGGATGAGAAGAGAAAATGGTTTCTTGAGATGGCATGTACTCCTGGTGAAGATGCTGTGCAGATTGTTGAAATGATGACAAAGGCTTTAGAATACTACATAAACTTAGTTCATAAAGCAGCAGTAGGGTTTGAGAAGATTGACTACAATTTTGAAAGAAGTTCTACTGTGTGCTAAATGCTATCAAACAGCATCACGTGCTACAGAGAAATCATTCCTGAAAGGAAGAGTCCATTGATGTGGCAACCATCATTTTTGTCTTATTTGAAGAAATTGCCAAAGCCACCAAAACCTTCATCAACCTGATCAGTCAGCACCTTAATCAGTCAAAATTAAGGCAAGGGACTTCCCTGGTGGCACAGTGGTTAAGAATCCGCCTGCCGAGCCTCCCTGGTGACGCAGTGGTTAAGACTCTGCCTGCCAATGCAGGGGACACGGGTTCGAGCCCTGGTCTGGGAAGATCCCATATGCTGCGGAGCAACTAAGCCCGTGTGCCACAACTACTGAGCCTGCACGCTAGAGCCAGCGAGCCACAGCTACTAAGCCCGCATGTCACAACTACTGAAGCCCGTGTGCCTAGAGCCCGTGTTCCGCAAGAAGAGAAGCCACCCCAAACAGAAGCCTGTGCACTGCAACGAAGAGTAGCCCCCACTTGCCGCAACACAAACAGTGAGAGGCCCGCGTACCGCAAAAAAAAAAAAAAAGAAAGCAACTCAAGAGAAAATTTTAACAGATGAGGAGTTGTTTCTTATGGATGAGAAGAGAAAATGGTTTCTTGAGATGGCATGTACTCCTGGTGAAGATGCTGTGCAGATTGTTGAAATGATGACAAAGGCTTTAGAATACTACATAAACTTAGTTCATAAAGCAGCAGTAGGGTTTGAGAAGATTGACTACAATTTTGAAAGAAGTTCTACTGTGTGCTAAATGCTATCAAACAGCATCACGTGCTACAGAGAAATCATTCCTGAAAGGAAGAGTCCATTGATGTGGCAACCATCATTTTTGTCTTATTTGAAGAAATTGCCAAAGCCACCAAAACCTTCATCAACCTGATCAGTCAGCACCTTAATCAGTCAAAATTAAGGCAAGGGACTTCCCTGGTGGCACAGTGGTTAAGAATCCGCCTGCCGAGCCTCCCTGGTGACGCAGTGGTTAAGACTCTGCCTGCCAATGCAGGGGACACGGGTTCGAGCCCTGGTCTGGGAAGATCCCATATGCTGCGGAGCAACTAAGCCCGTGTGCCACAACTACTGAGCCTGCACGCTAGAGCCAGCGAGCCACAGCTACTAAGCCCGCATGTCACAACTACTGAAGCCCGTGTGCCTAGAGCCCGTGTTCCGCAAGAAGAGAAGCCACCCCAAACAGAAGCCTGTGCACTGCAACGAAGAGTAGCCCCCACTTGCCGCAACAAGAGAAAGCCCACGTGCAGCAATGAAGACTCAATGCAGCCAAAAATAAATAAATAAAATTAACAAACAAAAAATAGAATCCACCTGCGAAAGCAGGGGACATGGGTTCAGGCTCTGGTCCGGGAAGCTCCACATGCCGCGGAGCAACTAAGCCTGTGTGCCACAACTACTGAGCCAGCACTCTAGACCTTGCACACCACAACTACTGAAGCCCATGCACCTAAAGCCTGTGCTCCACAACAAGAGAAGCCACTGCAATGAGAAGCCCCTGTACCGCAATGAAGAGTAGCCACACTCACTGTAACTAGAGAAAGCCTGTGCGCAGCAACGAAGACCCAACGCAACCATAAATAAATAAATATATTTATTAAAAATTTTTTTAAAATAAATTGCTCCATCAGCAAAAAGATACAACTCAGATGATGATTAAAATTTTTTTAGCAATAAAGTATTTTTTAACTAAACTATATATGTTGCTTTTTAAGACATAATGCTATTGCACACTTACTGGCTACTATACAGTGTAAACATAACATTTATAGGCACTGGAAAACAAAACTTTTAATGACTTGCTTTATTGTGTTACTCACCTTATTGTGGTGGTCTGGAACCTAACCTGCAATATGCCTGTATCTGTCTACGAATGAATGGATTAATAAAGTCTGGTATTTATATGCAATGGAGTATTATTCAGCCATTAAAAAAGGAAATCATGCATTTGTGACAACAATGATGGACCTGGAGGGCATAATGCAAAGTGAAATAAGCCAGAGAAATAGAAATACTGTATGATATTACTTATATATGGAATCTTGGGGGAAAAAAAACAGTTGAACCCACAGAAACAAAGAGTAGGATGCAGGGTGCTCAGGTCTAGAGGAAATGGGGAGATGGTGGCCAGTTTTATAAGATGAATAAGCTCTGAGGAACTAATACAGCATGGAGCCTATACTTAATAATGCTGTATTGTATACTTCAAATGGGCTAACAGAGTAGATCTTAAGTGTAATGGTGTGAGGTAATGGATGAGGTGAGGTAATGGATGTGTTAATCAACTTGACTGTAGTGATCATTTCATACTGTTTGTGTGTATATATAAAATCATGACACTGTACACTTCCTTGTGCTTTTAAATTATTTTTTCATTTTTTGGCCACACTGTGTGGCTTGTGGGATCTCAGTTCTCCGACCACGGATTGAACCCGGGCCACAGCAGTGGAAGCGCTGAATCCTAACCACTAGACCACCAGGGAACTCCCTGTACACTTTAAATACATACAGTATTATTTGTCAATTATACCTCAATAAGCTGGAGAAAAGAAAAAAGAAAAGAGATCTAAACACTACAAGTAGAACCATTAAGAACAGCCTTAGAAAACAGCACATGGTTCAGGTAAGTAATGGTCATGACAATACCTTCAATTCCTGGCATATGGAGGCAGAAGGAAATGTCAGATAATAAGAAGGAACAAAACCTGGGACACAGAAGTGCCATGGAAATGGACTCACCACCTGACCAGGGAAAGGGCAAGTATTAGCCTCACTGCAAGACTGCTGACCTCAAATCCATCCCTACGAGGGTTGAGTGCAGACTCTATTGGGGCTATGGGGAGAGAAGGGGGCAGTGCAAACAACCCAGCCCTACTTATCACAGCAACTACCCAGAAAGCTGGGGAAACAAGCAGTGCCCAAGGTCCATATGTGAGAAGGACAGAGCACACCTTGGAGAAAAGAGGGTGAGGGAGGATACAGAGCCTAGCCCAGGTCACTGGGGAGGGTGAGGCTTTTACCCAGTGAAGATATAAGTGCAAAGTTCTCCAGCATCACATCATGGTATAGGCGTCTCTGAGCCTCATCAAGGAGCTTCCATTCCTCCCAGGAGAAGTACAGGGCAATGTCCTCAAAGGTCACACCACCCTGTCATGAATGAGATAGATGAAACATAAACATTCTCTCTCTGAGGACCCACAATTCATCTCTTCACACATGTATTCCATAGTCATCCTCCATCAGAGCTCCCCACGTCAGGCCTGGTGCCAATGATGCCTGATCTCTCCTCACTGTGTTCAGCCCTCAGCCACAAAAGGCGGTGGCCAGGGGGATAAACGCCATCTAAACTCTGGGCCTGGCCTACAGGGCCCCATCCCTCCCCCGAAGTAATTCCCCTGAGGTCTCCCACATTGTGCCTCCAAGACACAGCTAAACCTGGGCTCATCTTTACCCTTAATCCCCAACACCAGGGCCTGTGGGCCCTCAGCTCACAATTCCCCTTGATGTGCACGTCATTCAGTTGACCAAACCTCTTTCACATCTTCAGACCTCACAGTTGTACTCCCACAGCTTTACCACCTCCCTGCCCCACATCACAGGCACCTCTCTGGACTCACCCAGGTACTTGGAACATGGCATCCACAGAGTGCTTAACAAAATCAAACATGATCTGGTACAATCCCAGTTCTCTGAGGGAGCCCATAGCCAGGGAAAGCCCTGCCTGCCTTGCTTCTGATCTCTGTTTCAGTATTAGCCACCCAGAATCAGTGAGGGACTGGGACACCCTCTCCTGCCTTACATAGGTTCCATAAGTGCCTCTTCAACCTTCAGAACCTGGGCGAAAAAGGAAGGCAACCATGGCTGGGCTCCGTGTGTGCAGGACTCCCTTGTATCCCCACCCAGCCCTGGAACCTAGTGACCTCAGGCTGACTGACTAACCTCTGCTGCCCCTCATCAGATCCTGTGACCTTGGACGAGGACTCAACTCCCTGTGCCTCTCTTTGTCACCCCCATTCCAATCCAATCTGTTCGTTCTCTGAGCAGCTTTTTGAAAACTTTTAAAGCCCTCACATACACTGCTCTTCGTCCGTTCACAGCCCTCCGTGGCTCCCAGGTCCCTCAGAATAAAGGAACAACCTCTCTCTCTGCCGGTCCAGGCCTGATTCCACCTCACACTCTCTTTACTGCAGTCATAAGACGCACTCCAGTTTTCCCGAATCCTCCTGGCTCAGTCCGACCTCCAAGCCTCTGCACCTGCCAGTTCCTCCGCCTGTCACCTGTGCCCACGCGCCGCCCACGGCCGCCTCACCGTCCTGGACACCGCGGCCTGGGCTGCGGGCACGTGAGCAGGCGCCCCGCACTCGGGGCTCTAGTGTCTGGTGCCTTGTGGGCGGTGAGGGGCCGGAGGACGAGCGTTTACCTCAGGCGGGTCCCTCAGGGCCGCCGCCGCCATCGGACTCGGTGGACGGAGCGGGGCCGGGAGCTGCAGGAGATGAGGCGAGACGCGGGCACGGCGGTCACTCTCCTGAGCTTGGCGCGCGATACCCCGGGAGGCGTTGCCTAGCCTCAGACCTGCCTCTGTGTTGCAGGGACAGGCCCTCCTCTCGGATCTTCTCGGTCCAGTCACTTTGATCCTGACACAACGCTCCGGAGCGCGAAGAAACCGGAGGGGAGCAAAAATGACCGCCACAACGGGGTCGCCAGAAGTCCCGCCCAGACGCGCACGCGCAGGAACCCCTCACCCTGATTGGCCGTTGCCTCGTAACTGCTGCCTCTTGGCCCGTGCCTTCAGGGTAATGTAGTTCCCAGCGCTCCAGCGGCCGCGGCGAAGCTAGTTCATAATGTTCAACCGGAGCATTGGATTTGCAGCCTGTTGAGGAACGCTGCTGGTGGTGTTCCTACCTCAAAGGAGGGAGGGGCTTTGGTCGTTGTTAAAGGCCGCGAAGAGACATTATTTCGGACTCCATGAAGCCCAGGCAGCTCCTAGAGGATAAAACTATTAATTGCGATGCTCGCAAATCTACTTATCTAAATGGCCGTATTATTCCGGTCATTCGTACATAAAATGAGTCCACACATAGCTAGAAACATTGTTAATTGCTCTTCAAATGCATGTGGCCTGAAGTGTAACTCAGGTTTTTAAGTTTCAGTTTGTTTGGTCAGGAAGAAGAAAAAAGAGTCCATTGAGGTCCATGACAGAAAAGCAAGTAGTGCGGATGGACAAGCAGGAGCTCTTCCTCTGGTTCCCCCAGAAAATGGTTCCCCTGCCTATGTTATCAGTCATTTTGAGGAGTAGAAGCAAAAATGAACAGGATCATCAAAAGTGGAAGAAAAATAGGAAGTGCCAAACTAAATGCCCTAAATTGTATAAAAGCTAATTTTTATTTTGTGGCCTTTTTAGAATTGTTACAATTGTGTAATCCACTCTCTCTCTCCCTCTCCCTCTCTCTCTCCCTCTCTCTCCTCTCTCTCTTGTTACAATTGTGTAATCCACTCTCTCTCTCCCTCTCCCTCTCTCTCTCCCTCTCTCTCTCCCTCTCTCTCTCTCTCTCTCTATATATATATATATATATATATTGTTGTTGTTGTTGTTTGTTGTTCCACAAATCAACCCATTTATTAAAGGCTAGCAAGGTTTCAAATGGTGGTGCTTCTATGGTCCTTCAATTCCTTCAGTTGTCTGAAGGCAGACTTTACTGTGACAGCAGAAGTGGTGTTGTAGGCCTAACTATATTTCTTGGGTGTTGAGCTCATTTATTTGGTGATGAGAAAACATTAAATGAGAATTGTGTTTGTCTGCTAGGGCTGCCATAACATTTTAATACTATTGAAACCTTGGGTAGTCATAAGTTATAAACTGTAACCTGCCTTCACTGATCAAACTCACTTTGCTTTTACAAAAACTTGCGGGTAATCCCAAGAGGCAAATAGCCTAAACAATAAGATCTTTGCCCAAGTTGTGTTTTAGGAAATTGGGAGTCAGCTGTGTCCAGTTTGAGCTCGAGCTGGTTAAAACTGGTTAAGACCACTGACCCTCCATCTGGGCATGTGCAAATGTCGGCTCAGTGACCTTTTGATGTCAGAGGGCCAACAGCCCACCCTCAGAACATGCTAACACTGCCATTTTCTGAACAGGTGTCTCATGAAAAAATCTGTAGCTTACTTTTACCTGTACAGAACAACAATCACCTTTTCTTATCTTCAACTCCCATTCCCCCACCCCCACCCCCACCCCCCACCCAGCTTTATCCCATAAACATTCCTAGCCTCTCCCCTTTGGGGAGGTGAATCTGAGATTTGTCTTTGCTTCTGCTTGCTTGGCTGCCTTATGAATAAACAGTTTCTCTGCTGCAAACCTCAGCGTCTCAGCGTTTGGCTTGTTGTGCATCGGGCAAATGAAACTGTTTAGTAAGAGTGTAGACTGGGTGGCTTAAATAACAGAAATTACTTTTCTTGCAGTTCTGGATGCTGAATGTCTAACAGGAAGGTGTCAAAGGGTATAGTTTTTCCTGAGGCCTCTGTTTTAGCTTTTGGGTAGCCAACTTCTTGCTCTGTCCTCACATGGCTTTTTCTCCCCGTGTGCTTACTCCTGGTGTCTATCCCTCATCTTATGAGTGATGCAATGAAATTTATATTTCAAGGCAGGACAAGAAAATTTAAACATAAAATTTTCTGCTTTGGCCTCTCTACCTCCTTAATGTGCAGTGTGCATCTGCATTACACACTAACTAGTCTTCCTCAAAGATGGGAATGCTTTCTTGACTGCAAAGATAAATTTTTTTCCCCTTTCTTCTGATGCTGGCAATGTAACTTCTTAAAAGATTAGCATTGTTTCCCAACCCTATTGGGGGTTATGGTGACTCACTGACTGCTTTGTACATGCTTACTTGGCCTATGAACTTTGTGTAAAATGTCAGCATGTCATTTTGTTGTATGATCCTTTGTCTCATAAATGTATATCGTTGTGCCTTCAACTTCTAACAGGCCGAACAGATCTCAGACATTCTGAGACTCTGTCTCCCGGGTTATAAACCTGTTTAATTGAATAAAGTTAACTTTTTTCTTCTTGATTGTTAATTGAGTTTTTGTAAACAGAAGGAAACCAGTCTTAATGGAATACAGCCACACTCTTATAATCTCACTTATCCTTATTTACCTCTATAAATGCCCTATGTCCAAATACAGTCCCTTTGTGAGTTAGTGCTTCAACATTTGACAGGTATTATGTTAATAAATGTTAGTGGTAATAAAAGGCAAATAACTTACTACAGTTGGGTAATAAAGAGGAAAAGAGTATTCAACTTTTAAAAGTATCCTCCAATTACCAATAGATCACAATTTCTAAAATTCACTTTCATAAAAGCGTAATTTCCAAACTATGCCTATTAAATACTGTAAATGCATCACTTCTAAGAACTACTTCAAACAAACACAAAGTTTTCAATTAAAACAAATATTAAATGATGCTAAAATGTAGAGTTTAATAAAGTAAATTTATTTGAATCGAATACTTACACTTGTTATCATATACAACACTTATTATTATCCCACCTGACTAATCCCCCACAAACTCATCATCTTCCCTACAAAAAGTTCGGATCATTCTCATCACTGAGATATCCTAATACCTGGCAAAAAAAAAGCCTTCACCTGCTTCCTCTGCTTGTTTTCTCATCACTCTTCCCATCGCACACTATACCACAAACACATCGATCTTCCTTCAGTCTTTGAATTCCATATGTGACTTTACAGCTCAAGAGTATTCCCAGGTCTTTTGCTCTCCAAATGAAACATCTATTTCCCCCACTATGCTTTGTAAATTCAAATAAATCTTTTAAGTGTCAACACAAAGTTTAACTTTTAAATTAAAGTGCTGTTATAACCTACACTCCTAAATCTTGAACATTCTCTATACTATCATAAAATTCCCTGAACCTGTAGTGAATAACATTATATACTTTTAGAAAATTATTTTTGAATAATTATGAGTAGCTTTCGTGTTTTTATACTCTACATGTAATACAAAGCAGAGCTATTATCACTGTTATCAATTTTGAATCAAAATCTTCTGGAAGATGAGATGACATAAAACATGAGCCTACAAATATATAAAGTTGATTAAATACATGGCGGGGTGAGCCTACAAATATATAAAGTTGATTAGATACATGGCGGGGTGTTCTAGAGAGAACTTATAGCCCAGGAGCTACACTCAGAATATTTGTTTTCCTTGCCCAACAGGAAAGCTAAACTGAGAGAGCTGAGTGTCACTGCCAAAGAGCACTAAGGGATGAATGTCGGGAAACCTGAAAATACCTTTGCAGAGGCGTTCATTCGACCATGGTGTGGGTTCATAATCAGAGTTATCCGAAAAGATAAAATAAAAAGAGAGGGTAAAAGCAGACAACATATTCACCAGAATGAGAATGGTGAACGTGGCTTTTTTCCTTAGCACGATAAGAATGGTGCTTTGGTCTCATGGGAAAGTCTAGGGGAGAGGCTGCTGCTGTGAACGCATTGGATTCTCTGCTTGTGTCTGTGTGGGAAAAGACCCATGGAGCCGCTGGTAGACCATGAGCCCGTAACACATCAGGTCAACGAAGAACAACATGAATGCATGTAGTGAGGCAATACACCTTTCTGAAATGACTGAAAAACAGTATCTATGAATTTTTTCTGTAGTTGTTTTTCCTCTTTCTTGGTCCAGTTTACTCACAGCAACTAAAGGTATTTATCAGGTGCTACATTATCCAGCAGAGGAAAGAGCAGAATCCAATAAACTTGGGGGATGTCACTCTGAATTCCACCCACCTTGAAATACTGGGGCAAAGCTTAATGGCTAAGACAACTCCTCCTGCCCACTCTGTGAAGACAAAGGACAAGTTTATATCCAATATCATCTAGAAAATATTTCCATCCAAAACTGCCACTGTCTTCAAAGACCCTTTACGGAGACACCCTAAGGAGAAGCTCTTGGCCAAGACAAGCTGTTTTATCAAATCTCTTGTAAGATAATCCCATCAATGCACTTCAGTCTCTTTGAATCTCTTAAAAATAACTTGATAAATATTGGACACATTGAAACAATTACACGTCACTCTTTCATCCAGTACATTTTCTGATTCTACCATTTCTTACACCCATTGCAACTCCACTTTTTAAAATTTATTTTTTGGCTGCATTAGGTCTTCGTTGCTGTGCACAGGCTTTCTCTCTACTTGTGGCGAGTGGGGTCTGCTCTTCATTGCGGTGCACCGGCTCCTCATTGCTGTGGTTTCTCTTGTTTTGGAGCATGGGCTCTAGGCAGGCAGGCTCAGTAGTTTTGGCACGTGGGCTCTAGAGTGTGCGGCCTTCAGTAGTTGCAGCGCATGGGCTCAGTAGTTGTGGCTCGCAGGGTCTAGAGTACAGGCTCAGTAGTTGTGGCACATGGGCTTACTTACTCCACAGCACCTG